GTGGATAAAAACTATGAACGAGGTTCACTCTGACAGAAAGGTCTGCAGCCTGTCATTGGATGAAATAGTTCATATGAATTTCAGGGGAAATAAGGATGGTCGTTGTGTGTGATGGATAGCTATTGCTATAAACAAGGGATTATGGATGTAATAAGGATGGTCGTTGTGTGTGTATGCATGATATGACTCTTGCTAATATATCTAATAAGATTACAACAGATTGAAATTCTCTCTTCTTGGTGATTTGAGGATTCAAAGATGTTGTTCTTATTAGAAATAATAGTATTGATGTTATGATTATGGGAAAATATGGCAGATGGCCGTTGGTTTTGACAATAAGTATTTTGGAATAGAGTGTACATTTTTATGAAAAACCAGAGGAGCTCTGGTTGGTCCTCACTATTGGACCAGAGGGTTCTTATTATTGATTTGATGAATATGCAAATTTTACTCAACGTACTAGTTGGACCAGAGGCTCTGTATCTATTGATAAGAGCTTATGTATCAAATTCATGCTTTAAGAAGTTTTAAAGAAAAAGAAATTTTATACTTAGTATTTTTTTTACGAAAGACAGACCAGAGGGGCTCTGGTCGACTCACACGTTGAACCAGAGGCTCTGGCTGATCCTAACTATATGAACCAGAAGCTCTGGTTAGTACAACCAGAGGCTCTGGTCGGATAAGAGCTCTGTATAAGCATTCTTTTATGAAGAAGACTATCTTTCTGGTTGGAAGCCTAACTTGAGAATATTACAAGAAATTATATAAACCAGAGGCTCTGGTTAGTACAACCAGAGGCTCTGGACGAGGAAATAAAAGCTCTGGTTATGTTTATTAAAATATATTTCAAGTATGGTTTAGAACCAGAGGCCCGACGAACCAAAACAGAATGTGATTTTCAGTCTTTAATACATGAGATGGATTATTTGAAATAAATATTTTGGTGATCTTCACCCTGCATTACATAAAAGGGAACCTCACTAGACATTCATGTCTAACCCTCATTTTGTGTTTTCAAAAATATGTGTGCAGGTAATGAGAATAAGGGAAAAAGCATTATGTGAATTACTTCCCTATGTGTATGAAGATCTTGATTAGCCATGTTTGGAAGATTAGATGTCAAGATACAGGAAGCATGTACTTTTGAATTTTTTTATCTATGTATCGTACATTATAGACTCTTGTATTATGGACCTATGTGAGAAAATATGTATTCTATTTATGAAATATATGTTATATGCAATGTATGGTTTGGGGGTGTTACAGAGATGGTATCAGAGCCTAAGTTTAAGAGATTTAGGTATTCACATGCATAATGCCTAGACTTAAACTATTTCATTGTATATTAGGGTCCCAAACATAGTTAGACCATTTGGAATAAATATGATAAGTTAAGAGATCAGTGTGTAAGGTGTTTTTGGATTACATCTGGCCAATGTAATTTTGAATCTACAGGTACATAACTGAACTTGGAAACTTTATTATATTTGGAATGTGAAAATATGTTTATTAAAATTTGAAATCCACAGATGACAAGCAGATCTAGAAGGTCGGAAAGGATCACCCGCCCAACCCCACTAATGAAGAAGAAGATTCTCCTATTATAGCTCATATTGGTACCTTTGAGGGCAGAGGCAGAAGCAGAGGAAGGGGCAAAGGCAGAGGTCAAGGCAAAGGGCAGACTAGAGGCAGAATTAGTCAACCAGAAAATAATGCAGATCAAGCCGAATCTAACTCTGAAAACATGAATCAAAGCATATGCCACAACCAGAATATGTGATCCTCTGCTGACTGAAGAGATGGGAAAGCTACGGGAAACCTTGACTTCTATTATGGGGATTCCTACCAGAATAAAGACTGGCAGAGTTGAAATTAATCCAACAGTTCCAGTTATCAACAATCGGGAAGGAGATATAAAGATGTTCTTAACATGCAAGCCACCAACTTTCTTGGGAGATAGAGATCCAGTTAAAGCCATGTGTTGGATCAAAGAGATAGAGTCTGTATTCAACACTATATGATGTGCGGAATCAGATAAAGTCAGATTTGCAGTTTCTGTCTTGAAGTCAAATGCCTTGTTTTGGTGGGAGGTGGAATCATTGGCCAAAACAGATATTCTACAAACTATGACATGGGCAGAGTTTGTGAATAGATTTAAAGAACAATTCTGTCCCAAAATAGCGGTCAGACAAATGGAAGAAGACTTTTTAAAATTGGAACAGAGTTCTGGGTCAGTCAGAGAATACATAGAGAAATTCATAGAATATTCAAGGTTTGCTGAGCATTACATCTCAACAGAAGCTAGAAAAGTAAAACGATAAATTTGGGGTCTAAAACCATCCATTAGGGAATTTGTTATAACAATGAATCTTGCTACCTTTCCAATGGCAGTAGATGCAGCAGAGATCACTGAGAGGAATAAAAAATAGAAGTGAAAAAGGGAAACAGATGGAGAAAAGAAAATGGGAAGGACCTTCGGCAAGTTATCGAGGATAAAAAATTACCAAGTTTAATAATAGAGCAATGCAGAGACCGATGGAAAGAGCCTGTCCCCGGTGTCGACAGTATCACCGAGGGGAATGCCGAGCAGAACCCATAAAGTCTTTTAATTGTGGTGAGATTGGGCATACTTTAAATTTTTGTCGACAAAACAGAAAATGTTTTCATTGTAATTCCCCAGATCATTTCGAGAATAATTTCCCACAATTGAAAGCTCCACAACTCACTATGGGAAGCAATACTTCGACCGGCCCTGGGAGACCAAGTATGGGCAGAGGATCGGGTGGGGCGCGGGGTCGATCTTTTCAAATGACCAAACGTGAAGCAGAAACTACACCCGATGTAGTAACAGGTATGTTTTTTGTGAGCTCCTTACATGCCAAAGTGTTATTTGACTCGGATGCAAACTTCTCATTTATATCCCCATCATTTTCCTTGTATGCTCGCATGAATTCTGTGCCACTTGACGATAAATTAGAAGTTAATACTGCTAATGGTCAAGTTTCTGTGAATAATGTTCAATAATTGCACTATTATGATTGAGGGATGTAAGCTACCCATCAGACTATTTCCCATGCCTATGAAAGATTTTGATGTAGTAGTGGGAATGGACTGGTTGGTCGAAAATCAAGCCAACATTGTTTGCGATAAGAAGATGATTAGAATAGTATTTTGTGAGTCCTATTTCACTGATCAATCTTCATTTACTTCACAACAATGGCAGAATCTTGATATTGCATTCAAGAACATGATATGAACTTTGAGAGGAAAAGTCAAAGCATTCAAAGTATGGTCAACTCTCTTAATACGTATGGTTTTTACAAATGAGCTCCTCTCCTTCTAATTACAAAGATTAACCTATTTATATGGTCAAACTAACTAAACAAAGTCAAAGTCAAACTTCTATAAGAAAAGTCAAACAC